CACACACATACACACACACACACACATACACACACATACACACACACATACGCACACATACGCACACACACGCACGCACACGCACACGCACACGCACGCACGCACACACACACACGCACACACACACACATCCACACACACACATCCACACACACACACACATACACGCACACACACATACACACACACACACATACACACACACACACACACACACACTTTTTTGTTTGTTCTTTTTTGAGACAGGGTCTCCTTGTAGCCCCAGCTGGCCTGGAGCTCACTATGTAGACCAGGCTGGACTTGAACTCACAGAGGTCTGCCTGGCTCTGCCTCCCAAGTGTTGGAATTAAAAGTATGCACCACCACACCTGGCCTTTCTTTCATTTTTTGAGACAGGGTCTCACGTAGCCCAGGCTGGCCTTGAACTCACTACGTAACTGAGGATGACCTTGAACTTCTGATCCTCCTGCCTCTACCTTATGTTCTAATTGTAGAGGGTTTTTTGTTTGTTTGTTTGTTTAGCTTTTTCTCTGTATTTCTTGCATGGGTATAATCATATCAGAGAACTTCCACTTCCAATTTCTTTTTAAAATATTTTATTTATTATTTTTATGTGTATGCCCATTTCGCCTGAATGTATGTAAGTGCACCCTGTAGAGGCCAGAAGAGAGTTTCATATTCCCTGAAACAAGTTACAGACAGTTGTTAGCCGCCATGTGGGTGCTGAGAATCAAACCCAGGTCCTCTGGAAGAAAAGCAAGTGTTCTTAACTGCTGAGCCATCCCCCCGCCCCAACTTCTAATTTCTTTTTACAGCTTTGACAGTTGTCCTTAATCCAACGTCACTGAACCACCCTGATGATCTACACTACTGACATGCTATGGTGGTGCTATAGTGAATTCCTCCCTGTTTGCTCTGCGATATTATAAACACATGGAAGATATCCTCACGAGTGAAGGTGTATGCAGATTATTGTCTTAGCTTTGCATGTGAGGGCTAGAGTTGTGGCTCAGATAGCCGGTTTGCCTGAATTTGTAGTGAGGGGATCGCAGGCAGAGCCTGAAGTCCTCTTGCCGACTGGCTTTCCAGAACATGATTTGAATTTTCACTGTGGTTTAGAAGAGCACTTTGCCCACTTTTCTCTCTCCACTATAATTAATAACAATAAAACCCTCCGCCAGCGTAGGAGGTGGAACATGGCGTTCTGTTCATTTATTAACTTAGGATTCTTTGTTAGTCGTGAGTGATGGCATAGGTCCTTGTGAATGATAACAACCTGACTGTTGCTGGGCTTTCCTGACTCATGATGATTTCTATATGTTTTTTATTTTACTTTACTATTTTTATTTAGTTAGTTACTTTTGAGGCCGGGTCTCATGTAACACAGATTGGCCTTGAACTTGCTATATAGCCAAGGATGACCCTGAACTTGTGATCTTCCTAACCCCACCTCCAGAATGCTGTGATTACAGGCATGTGACACCATGCCTAGTTTTCTATATACTTTTGAGAAAAAATTGTGGCCTATGTCCATCTTTCTTCCTCCTCCTCCTCCTCCTCCTCCTCCTCTTCCTCCTCCATGTTTTTTTAGTCATTTTTTCTCACTTTGTAGCCCTGGCTGTCCTGGAACTCCCTATGTAGACCAGGCTGGCCTCAAACTCACAGAGATGTGCCAGCCTCTGCCTCTTAAGTGCTGGGATTAAAGGCGTGCACCACCTGCCTGGCCCTGTCCATTCCTCTTGATTGTTCCAGTTCTTCACATTTTGGCTCCAGTGGTCCCCCTCACCCACCCCAACCTCCCAGTGATAAGGATCAAGCCCAGGGCCACACGTCATGCTCTGTGCTTTACTACTAGGCTGTGTCCCCAGCCCCCACTACAGTGGTTTTTGACTTGCTTTTGTTTTGGGAATCAGGGTCTTCTTACATAGTTCAGACTGGTGTGGAGCCTGCTATGGGAACCAGGCTGGCATCAAACTCTTTAAAAAAATTTTTTTTTGGTGTTTTTGAGACAGGGTCTCTCTGTAGCCCCAGCTGGCCTGGAACTCACTGTGTAGACCAGGCTGGCCTTGCACTCACAAAGATCTGCCTGCCTCTGCCTTTCAAGTGCTGGGATTAAAGGCGTGTACCACCACACCCAGCTGGCATCAAACTCTAATTCTCCTGTCTTAGTTTACTGACTTCTGGGGTTATATACCTGCACCATCACATAGATAGCTACTTTTAACTTTTTGGACATTTACATGGCAGCTAACAACCAATCGGATATAACTCCAGTTCCAGGGGGATTCAACACCCTCTTCTGACCTCCACAGTCATTGTACGACATGGGTGCACTTACATACATGCAGGCAATGCACTCATACACATTAAATAAAAGTAATAAATAAAAAAATTATGCAGAGAGCAGGGTGTAGCTCAGTGGTAGAGCACTTCCATAGCATATAAGAGGCCCTGGGTTCAATCCCCAGCACTGAGAGAAATAAAAAATAAAGAGAGCATCCTAGTTGCCCCTCCTCCTTTTGTGATTTTTTTTTTTTCTTGCGCTTTCTGAATCTCTGCCAGAGCTTTGATAAGTCACCCGTGTCCTCTCAGGAACATTTAGGGTAATGCAGAATTCTGTGGTTAAGACTATGTGGCAATTTTTTGGCTCTGAGGTTTGGGGCCTGGATGAAACCTCACCTGTCTGCTCTCCTCCTCCTCCTCCTCACCCCCTTTATCCTGCCTGGGTAGCAGGTGTCTGGAAGGTGGCGGTCACAGTGCTAATGACCAGTGACGGCTGTTGAGTTGATGCTCCCTGTAGCTGTCTTAACACTTTCCAGAGTTCCCAACTCTGTTCAGTTGCTTAAAAACTACTTTCTCCCTGGAAATAAAGAGCTCTAGAGGCTGTAGATGTTGCTAAGTAGTAGCTCTTACTTAGCATGGGCAAGGCCCTGGGTTCTAGCCCTAGTACTGGAGGGCTAAGAAACCACCCAAAAGAAACTCCTTTCTGAGCTATGCTTAATGCCATTCACCTGCAATCTCAGCACTTGGAAGGAGGAAGCAAGAGGATCATAAGTTCTAGGCCAGCCTGGGCTATATAGTGAGAACCTCTCTCAAAAAATAAACAGAAAGACAGGGGATATGGCTCATTGGTAAAGCACTTGCCTAGCGTGTGTGAGGCCCTAGGTTCAGTCCCCAGCATCAGAAAAAAAAAAAAAAAAAGGAAACTTGTCAGTTGCAAAAGACTGATCTCTGTGCACTGTGACATAATAAAGTGGGAAACTTGGAAGCCTAAATATTCATCCATAGGACCCAGGGGAGGATTTTTAACTCACCAATCTCTGGAACATTATATTGGAAGGTAAAAAGACTATGGCAAATCTGTATCTATAGACACATAAAAAATATAGGGGCTGGGGATGGAGCCCATGGTCTCGCTCAGTGGCCTGTGTTCATCTGGCATGCCCAAGGCTGTCCCAGTCCTCGACTCTGGCAGGGGAAATGTAACAATTTCTTGTTGGATGAGAAACTAAGCTACAGTGTGAATGTAGGCATCACGCTGTTTGTTAAAAATACAGAAATGAGCTGGGTGTGGTGGTACACAACACTCAGGAGGCAGTGGCAGGCAGATCTCTGTGAGTTCAAGGCCAGCCTGGTCTATATAATGAGTTCCAGGCCAGCTGGGGCTACAGGGAGACCCTGTCTCAAAAAAGACCAAAAAAGAAAAAAAAAATAGGGAAATGGAACTGGAGAGATGCTCAGCAGTTAAGAGCACTGGCTGCTCTTGCAGAGGATCTAGGTTTGGTTTCCAGCACCCACATGGTGGCTGACAACCATCTGTAACACTAGTTCCAGGGGATTTAGCACCCTCTTCTGGCCTCTATAAACACTACATGCACATGGCATACAACATTCAGGCAAAACACTCATACACATAAAATATAAATAAATAAATCTTTATTAAAAAATACAGAGAAGTGGGCTGGTGAGATAGCTCAGTGGGAAGAGGACTTACCCCGTGACAAACTGTCTTCTGATCCCCATGTGCATACTGTGGCATGCCTACCCCTCCAGGCACATGATAAACAAATGAAATGGAATTTTTTTGGGGTTGCTCTTTTTGAGACAGGATCTCCTGTAGCCCCAGCTGTCCTAGAACTATGTAGACCAGGCTGGCCTTGAACTCACGGGGATCCACCTGCATCTGCCTCCTGAGTGCTGGGGTTAAAGGCCTGTGCCACCACGCCTGGCTTTTATGTTTCATTTTGTTTTTTTTGAAATGTAATTTAAAATAAATAAATAGGACTGGGGAGATGGCTCAGTGGTTGAGAGCACTCGCTGCTCTTGCAGAGATCCTGAGTTGGGATCCCAACACCTGTGTCCTGCAGCTTACAAACCACCACCTGTAATTTCAGCCCCAGGGTATTCGACACTCTCTTCTGATTTCTATGGGCACTGCACTCACATACATGTACCTACACAAAGACACACACACATATACATAATTAAAAATAAAAGTCTTTTTAAAAGTTCTTTTTAAATATACAGAAAATGGGGGCTGAAGAGATGGCTCAGCGGTTTAGAACACTGACTGCTCTTGCAGAGGACCCAGGTTCATATCCCAGCACCTACATGGTGGCTAACAGCCATCTGTAACTCCAGGTCCAGGGGATCCAACACCCTCTTCTTTCCTCCACAGGCACTGCATGATACATACATGCAGGCATAACACTCATACCCTTAAAAATAAATTTAAAATATATATATATATATATACAGAAAAATTCAATCTGTACATTTTCTTTAAGTCTCCGCATCTGTGTAGACAGAAAATCCTAGAAAGTGGTCTGACCAGACTCACCCCAAACACAGAGCCCCCTGCTCTCATTGACTTGTGAAATGTCAGCTTGTAGAGTTTGAATTCTGGGTGCATGTACTTCTGGAACTTCCACCAGAGCCATTTTCATCTGGAGGGCAGATGCTGAGGGTGCAGCGCAGCAGCAATCAGGGCCAGCCTCTTGGAGGAATGGGTGTGGGTTAGCCAGATTCATGTGCTAACACCAACAAGCCCACTGTACTCTTAGGACTCTGAGATTCAGCCTTTGATCTTAAAATGGCCACTGAGAAATTCTAGGGTTTTATTGTTCAAAGACAAGTTGGCAAACTCTGGTCTCTTGACTATTTTTGTAAATAAAGTTTCATTGGATCATCATCGCCATCATTCATTTTCACAGTCACTATGACTGCTTTCAGGGTGTGATAGCAAAGCTAGGTCATTACAGTAGAGACCACATGACCCACTGTTGTGTGACACTGACACTGTGCCTGGGAAAACACGAACAAACGTCTCCTCTCCTCAGATAGGGAACAGATGACAGAACAAAGTTAGGGTACCACCAAAGTCTAACATGGCGAACCAATGAGTTTACTGGGGTTATGTACAGGAACCGAAATGACTTAAAGACAGCTACATCGCACATAGCCCACTTCACAGCTCACAAACACTGGAAGCCTGGGGCTAGCTGCACAACTTGTACACAGCTCAGCTCTCAGCAGCCCTTACTTAGCCTTAGGGAGAGAGGAGCCTCGTGTCTGGGCAGTTTCAGGGATTTCCTGCAGCCTTTGAGTTATTTCCTGAGCTTAAGAAGCTTCCCTGCAGGGTGGAATGTCTTATCTCATAGGAAATTGTTACCCAACACCCAGAAAGCCAAAAATACTAACCTTTTATAGGAAAAGTTTACCTGCCCTGAAATTGGAATGTGTTGAAGGGATCTGCATGTCCCTGGGGCTGTGAGTGTTGATTATATTTGGAGCTCAGCTGAGTATTTGTAAGTTTCATAGTTTTATATTTAATAATCATATTACAGCCATGTGTAATGGTGTACTCCTGGGTAAACTTGGGAGGTGGAAGGAGGATCAAGAGGTCAAGGTCATCCTCAACAACAAAGCAAGTTTGTGTCCAGCCTAGGCTACATGAGACCCTGTCTTAAAAAAAAGAAAAAGTGGGGCTGGAGAGATGGCTCAGCAGTTAAGAGCATAGACTGCTATTGCAGAGGATCCAGGTTTGAATCCTAGAAACCACTTGACAGTTAACAACCCCATTAGTAATTCTAGGCCATCTGTCTCCCTCTTCTGGCCTCTGCTGGCATTGCATGACATGGGCACACATACTTGAAGGCGTTAACACTCAATACATATTAGTTTTTTTTTTTAATTTTTAAAAAGAAAAAAGTAGCCATTCAAATTCATGATGCTAAAGGTATTATTGCTTGGGACAAGGTGAGATACAAAAGCAAGTTCAAAGTGAAGCATTAAGTCTAAAAATGGTGTAGGAGAAGAGCTAACCCAAATAGAGGGGAGTGGGGAATGGCTGGGGCTTGGGACTCTGGTATTTTATTCATTATTTTTATTTTATGTATATGACTGTATTGCCTGTATGTATGTGAGTGCACCCGTTTCATGCAATGCTGCGGAGGTCAGAAGAGGGCTTCAGATTCCCCTGGAACTGGTGTTAAGAATGGTTCATACCCGCCATGTGGGTGCTGGGAATCAAACCCGGGTCCTCTGCAAGAGCAGTCAGTGCTCTTAACCACTGAGCCATCTCTCCAGCCCCCGGGGCTGTTCTCTTTTTTTTTAAAAATATATTTATTGTCTTTTGTGTGTGAGTGTTTTGCCTGAATGTATGTAACTGGACCCGTGCATACAATCCCTGTAGAGGCTAGAAGAGGGCTTTGGGATCCCTGCAAATGGTGTTACAGATGGCTGTCACCATGTGGGTGCTGGGAACCAAACCTCGATCCTCAGCATGAGCAGCCAGTGCTCTTAACTCCTGAGCCATTCCTCCAACCCCAGCACTGGGGAGCTGAACTCGTCAGCATGAGCAGCCAGTGCTCTTAACTCCTGAGCCATTCCTCCAACCCCAGGGGCATTTTTTAAAAAAAAGACTTATAGCCGGGCGTGGTAGCACACGCCTTTAATTCCAGCACTGGGGAGCTGAACTCAGAACTTGAACTCTGTGAGTTCAAGGCCAGCCTGGTCTACATAGTGAGTTCCAGGCCAGCTGGGACTACAGGGAAACCCTGTCTCAAAAAAGACCAAAAAAAAAAAAAACTTATTTTTATTTTAAGTATATGAGTGTTTGCCTGCATGTATGTTTGTGTACCACTTGCATGTAATGCCTGTGGAGACCAGAAGAGGGTATTGGATCATCTGGAGCTGGAGTCACAGATGATTGTGAGCCACCATGTGGGTGCTTGGAACTGAACTCAGGTCTCTGCAAGAGCAGTCAGTGCTCCTAATCGCTCAGCCATCTCTGCAGCTCTGTGGGCAGTTCTGATAGTGCTGGGGAGTGACGGAGAGGTGGCAGGAGGGACGGGACCTGCTGACAGTGCCCTTCTACCTGACCAGGCTGTGCAGTGCACCATCACAGGCCTAACTTTCTGGGATTCCCACTGTCAAGCTGAAGACAGCGATGGCCAACTGATCTTGAGAAGCAGATACTCCAGCTGTGGCACGAAAGTGACGGCACCTGTGGTCAGCAATGAGGTAACACCCAGGGCCAGGGATATGTCAGGAGTGGCACAGCGGGTGTCCCTCCAGATGCCTCCCCAATCCTCTAGTCCAAGGAGAAGCAGGTGTGGCGCTCAGTAGGACCCAAAGCTTGGTCATGGCTTAGCTCAGTCTTCTCATCCATAAAATGGGTAGGTTGGGTGGGCTACCCTCTGGGGGCCTTTCTGGCTCTGACCAGCTCCTCGGTTCTATCCTTACAGGTGATCGTCAGCTTCCTGTCAGGCTCATCACCACTGCGGGTGAGTGAGATGGACAGTCACCATGCTACCCACCTCGTTCTGGATCTGCTGCCAGGGCTGGTTTAGGAAACTGAAGTCCTCAGGAAACACTGGATCTGACAAGTCCTGTTTCCAGTGTGCCCCAGTCTCCCCTTTTGTACACTGGCAGTAGTGATTCTCAGGGTTCAACTTTCAGTCTCTCAAATCAGAAAGTTTTAGCATGTACTGTGTGGCCTTGGATGAGTCACTTACCCCTCCTGGGTGCAAAGGTCATTCATTGTAAACTGCGACTTGAGAGAGGACCTCACTCCATAGGGGCCTTAGGAGCAGCCACTGAGAGGTATGAAATCTCTTCCCACAAGCTCGGCACCAAGTGCATTCTTAATAAATACGAGCCTATCTTGAAGGTGAGGATGAGGGTTAGGCAACCCTGGGCCCAGACTCCTGCATCGATTCCCACTGCTCACCCTCCCAGCTGTTGCCACTCAAACTCACTAGCTCCCTCACCATCCCTCCTTCCCCCCACAGAAAAAGATTCAGTGTTATGACATGGACAGCCTCTCCTTCCAGCTGGGCCTCTACCTCAGCCCACACTTCCTCCAAGCATCTAGCACCATCGAGCTGGGTCAGCAGGGCTTTGTGCAGGTACTGGGTGCTTGGTTCCCATTTGGCTCCTGGAGTTCCCTAAGTGCCTTTCTTTCCACCCTTGCTAGCGAAAAGATTAGATTTCAACTTCAGAGGGAGGGAGCTACACTGGGTGCATGGGAGGGACAGGTAGAAAAGGCATTGCTCCTGGAACTTTACCCTGTCCTTCCTGTTTGCTCTGCAGGCCCCAGCCTGCCTTCCTAATGTGAGGATTCTGAGGTGGGGACTCTCCATCTAGCTTATTTCAAGAAAGCAGAGATGAAGGGTCAAGAATAACTGCCCATACCTTGTCCCCCGACCTCCCTGTGCAGGTGAGCATATCCCCATCAATTTCTGAGGTCACAGTCGAGTTAGAAAGCTGTCACCTGAGTTTGGGGCCTAAGAAGGACAAGGTGGAACTCATCCAGAACCGGGCAGCCAAGAGCAGCTGTGTGAACATACTGCCCCCAAGCCCTGAGGGCAACCCACGCTTCAGCTTCCTCCTCCGAGTCTACATGGTACCCACACCCACTGCTGGCATCCTCAACTGCAGCATAACCATGAACTCCAAAGCTTTGTCCCGGGTAAGTGGATGTGGCCCAGGCCCAGTTTCAAGGGGGCTTCCAGGTCTAGGGTCTACAGACAAGGAGATGGCAGCATAGTGAGATACGGAAACAGCTGTTAAAGGAGCATGGGGCTTGACAGCCTGGCTGCCAGGGGTCTCACTGCCACCTACAGCCTTGCTGTGCCTTTGGCATTAATAGGATATAAATATCCATTTATTTTCTACGCATTTACCCAACCATCTAGCATGCACCCCACCCATTCATCTATCCATCAACCCATTCACCCAACCATCTACCCACCCACACATACACCTAACTGTCCATTCATCCATCCATTGACCTATCCATCTGCACACCAACTTGAGCACCTACCCACCCATCCATCTACCCACCTACCCCTGCACTCCCCAGTCCAGACACTCCACATATACCCATCCATGCACCCACCCATCCACCCATGTACTCACCCATCTACCTACCACCCATCCATCCACCCACTTACCCATACTCATCCACCATCCCTTTGCCACCCACCTATCCACTCATCTAACCCATCTATCCACCCACTCATGCACCCACCCACCCACC